ATTTAGAATAGTGTTTCTGTCTGTTTGCATAATACGACTGTGTTTTTCCTCCTCTAACAAAAATAGATTTTTTTAAAAGACACAATATTCTTAAAAGCATCATGACTTATTCATATGATTTAATGTTGAGGCTACACAAAATATTCAATAATGGAACAGTAGTTGAAAGCCAATATGTTGAGAGAAAGGCGTTCCTATGTGCACTTTATGGTTGGGTGATGTGACTGTGACTTGTGCATATACCCTTGCATAGTTCCTGTTCTGTGGAAGGTTTGTACAAAGATTAACTGGCAAAAAGACTGTCCTGCAAGCCAAGAAATCTTGACTTTTCTAAAGCCGGGAAATACAACTTATTTTCATTAAAAACTGAACTCTTACATACTTGGAATCAAAGTAATAGCTTTTTACATGTTGCTGCCTGTAATATTGTACTTTATGATGAACCCCAAGCAGAACACTAAAAGAGTAAGGTTGTTTTTCATTTTCTTTACATGACACTAATATAAACTATATTTAAAACTTTAAGGGATATGTTAATTGCCGTCGAGTCGGTTACAACCCATAGCAACCCTGTATAGGGTTTCTGAAGAGTAGATGGTAAGCTTGAACTGCCAACCTTGCGGTTCAAACTGACTTTGCAATGAATGGCTGTATACCAGTATTTATTGCAGTGTTGGTCACAACAGCCAAAAGATGGAAACAACTCAAGTGCCCATGATCAGATGAATGAATAAAGTAAGTATGGTATATGCACATACTTGAAGAGAAATGTAATTCTGATATATACCATCACATGAATGAAACTTGAAAACATGCAAAGTGAAATACGCTAGACATAACAGGACAAATATTGGATGATTCCACTTACATGAAATGTCTAGTATAGGCAAATCCACCAAGACTAAAAACCAAACTAAAACAAAACAAAACAGATGAATAGTTACCAGGAGAGGAAGTAGAAGAGATGGGAAGTTTTAATCTGTTGTGGTTGCTGTTAGGTATTGTTAGTCGATTTCTTGACTGCTGTTTTCAGGAACATTGATTGTGGATTGCAAGCAAAATGAAATCTTAGACAACTTCGATCTTTTCTCCATTTATCATATTTACTGGTCCATTTTTAATTTATAAAGTTGTCAATTAGCATGTGTATGAGTATGTGTCTCTTAAGATAGCTAAATTCAGCCTTCAGGTCTAAGAAAAATACTAAGATGGGTCGATGAATAATATGTATTTGTCTAGTAGTTTTGTCCAGTTTTCAAAGATATTTCATATATATGATATTTGTTCTTCAAAACAGTTAACCTATTACAGCAGACAGACCCATAAGATATACTTGTACTGTCATTTGAATGAAGCCATTGAATCGATGGGTTTTAACAGTTTAGAATTAGGAAGAACACTTAACAGGATATAAAATGGGCAAAGATAGAAAACACAAAAGGGGAAGAATAATGCGTGGCATGTGGCTAGGATGAAGGGGAAAATGAACGAAAGTACAGGGAGGTTGGACTCCATCATTAGAAAGCTTTGAATACCTGCCATACTCCCAAGTAGTTACTGTGCCAGTATTCCTGATTTTTTATTTCTAATATTTTCTCCCATTAATCCTGAAAGGAGCTCTGGTAGCGTAGTGGTTACGAGTCGGGCTGCAAACCTTAAGGTCAGTGGTTCGAAACTACCAGCCGCTCCGCGGGAGAAAGATGAGGGTTTCTACTCCCGTAAAGATTTACACCCTCGGAAACCCTGTACAGGGTCGCTATGGGTCGGAACCGACTCGACGGCACTTAA